AGCCAGCGCAGCGCCCGATGCCCCCACCTGCTCGTGCAGCCCCAGGAGCTGGCTGTAGCGCACTCTGCAGTGCAACACCCCGTTCACGTGGATGTTGTAGGCCTGTGGGAGAGACGCCAGTCAGATCCCAGCACCCGCTGGACAGAGGGGCCCTGGGGCCTGCCCCACCGCAGCCCAGGAAGAGGTGATGCTCCCGAGGACCCTGCTGAGGGGCAGATGAGGCACCCCCCAGCCCTCCCCTCCTGCCAGCAGAGCTCAGCCCCTGCCCTGGGAAGCACCAGGACCCACATGGCACCCTCCTGTGCCCTGTGCTGAGCTGGGCACCGCTGCAGGAGCTGGGTTTGCCTTGCAGGCAGTGGCCCCAGCCCAGAGGCACTGATCTCGGCAACATGCCGCCTTCCGCCCCTCCTGGCACTGCCCCGGAGCACACAGCACCCACAGCACTCCCCTTGTGGGGCCGGGGCCCCCTCCAGCTCTCGGGGCAGCGTCCCCAGCAGCCTGGAGAGAGGCAGGGCCCACGCACCCCAAATCTGCCCATTGAGGCCAACAAGCAGGCCTGGGAAGGCACAGCCACGGCCCTGGCACAGCCACGGCCCCAGCACAGCCAGGGCCAGGAGAGGCTGCGGCCCCCCGAGGGCTAGGCACGAGCAAGTGAGGACGGATCGAACGTCCAGGGCTCGCGCAAGTAAGCACAATAACAGCACCGAGAGGTTTCTGAGCGCTGCTCCTCTGAAGACACATCAGTGTCGGTGCAGACCTGCAGCCCAGGAGATATGGTCAAAACTACTCAGGAAGTACAACCGCATCCAAAAACTGCTCGGGAAGTACAGACACATCCGAGAGACGTGTCCAACCGACACCAGGAAGGCGTAACCCTGCAGCTGCACAGTCACAGGGATAGTACAGAGCCGTGCTGCAGCCCCACAGATACGGGTGTCCCCGGGTCAGTGGGCAAGGACACCCCTCCCCACTCCCTGCAGCAAGGAGAGGTGACAGCCAGCGGCTGCTCTCCATTCC